GGAGAGGAGGAGGAGGGGGAGGAGGAGGAGGAGGAGGAGGAGGAGGAGGAGGGAGGAGGAGGAGGAGGAGGAGGAGGAGGAGGAGGAGGAGGAACGAGGACGAGGCCAAGGGAGGAGGAGGAGGAGGAGGAGGAAGGAGGAGGAGGAACGATGACGTGGCCAAGGGAGGAGGAGGAGGAGGAGGAGGGGGTGGGAGGAGGAGGAGGAGGAGGAGGAGGAGGAGGAGGAGAAAGTGGAGGAGGAGGAGCTGGAGGAGGAGGAGCTGGAGGAGTAGGAGGAGGAGGAGGAGGAGGAGGAGTCAGGAGGAGGAGGAGGAGGAGGAGGAGGACTCAGGAGGAGGAGGAGGAGGAGGAGGAGGAGACGTAACACGCTCATCACACCAAGGTTCCCAAGAGCGACCCGCAACGTATCCATCTGTCGTTGAAAGTAGAAATTTTTGGATTCCCAGATTCCAATCTACTTTCAGCGCCTTCCTACTTCAAGAGTCGAGTGGTTTTCCCTCTTCCTTCCTCTTCAGGAGGCGGACGGAAACCCAATATATTTCCAACGCCTTCCTAGTTTATGTTTCTACCTACTTCTTCCGACCGATGGGTAAACATCTCTGAACACCAGGGCTCCCAACAGGAGACCGTTTCTTTATTGCTTGGGGCATGACGGGCGTCATGGCCCCCGCCCCCCCCTTCTATGACGTAATGCTCCCCCCCCCAGTGTGCTCCGGGCACTGCCGCCGTGCGCATTGGGATCCGCAAAGGTGTCCGCGTAGGAGTCCGCATAGGAGTCTGGTCCGCAGTCGTCGTCGTCGTCGGCGTCGTCGTCGTCGTCGTCGTCGTCGTCGTCGCCTGTGGCTTGTCGCTCGTCGCTTATAGGCTTATAGTCGTCGTGCGCGCGGACGCGGCTGAAGCCTGTTTCCTATTCCGGGCCGATGACGGCAATCATCTAGGGGGGGGGTGGAGGGGGTCGATGACGTCACGTTTCGCGCCGGCGGCGTATGGGAATGCCTGGGAATGACGGAGGACTGGTAGCGCCAGCATGTAGGTGGCGGTTTGCACCACGACGCTTGTGTACACCACAGTGCTTGCGTGCACCACAACGCCTGTGTACACCACACCACCTATGTACACCACAGCAGCCGCGTGCAACACAGCGTCAGTTTTGTGCCACCGTGCCTGCGGGCACAACAGCTGTTGTGCACACCACAGCGCTTGCGTACACCACATCAGCCGTGTGCAACGCAGCGCCAGTGTACGCCGCAATGCTTGCGTGCATTGCAGTGCCTGTGCGCACCACGGCGCCTGTGTGCACCACAGCAACCGTGTGCAACACAGCACCACTGCTGTACATAGAATGTGTGAACAAATCCTTATGACAAAATGGAACGCTTGTGGATTCCACAGGAAACAGTAGAACATAACCCTTATGGACAACGGAGCGCCGCTGGAATCTACGAGTCCTCCCGAGTCCGCCCGCGTCACCCTAATTCTTCCCATCTGCGTCCAGCAGGCTGCAGATAAAATGGCCGTCCAAGTTTAAGTGAACCGATTCAATCGACCATTATGCGGTGCGCGCTGACATGCGCACGTGTGCTATATCGCCAGCGCTATGTTGCACGCGAGCGTTGCGGCGTACACAGGCGCAGTGGGGCATATCGCCACCTACATGTTGCTCGCGTCGTCGTCGTCGTCGTCTCTCGTCGTTCGTCGCTCGTCGCGTCGCGCGCGCGGGCGCGGTTGCGGTGCCGGAGCCGCACGGCGGGGAGGCGTTACGTCATACCCCCCGTTTCGCCCTCCCCCCCCCCCCACCCCCCACGACGCCCGTCATCGCCGAACATAAAGAAACGCTCTCCAGAGAGTGGTGACGCAACCAGCTCTTCCCACCAAGGCTCCTCAGAGCGAACGGTTACGTGACAAACTCGTGCACACCAAGACTCCCAAGAGCGAACGGTGACGTAAACAACTCTCAACACCAAGGTTCCCAAGCGCGAGCGGCAACGTACAAGTCTCGGCACACCACGGCTCCCAAGAGCGAGCAGTGACGCAATAAGCTCCTACCACCAAGGCTCCCAAGAGCGAAGGGTGCCGTGAGCCCTCTCGGGCAGGTTGCTGGGAGGAGGAGGAGGAGGAGGAGGAGGAGGAGGAGGAGGACGAGGAGGGGGAGGGGGGGGGGGAGGGGGAGGGGGAGGAGGAAGATGAGGAGGGAGGAGGATGAGGAGGAAGCGGAGGAAGAGGAGGATAGGAGGCGGAGGAGGAGGAGGCGGAGGAGGTGGAGAAGGAGGAGGGCGGACGAGGGAGGAGGAGGAGGGAGGAGGAGGTGGAGGAGGAACGATTGCGAGGCCAAGGGAGGAGGAGGAGGAGGAGGAGGAGGAGGAGGAGGAGGAGAAGAAGGAGGAGAAGAAGGAGAAGGAGAAGGCGGAGGAGGAGGAGGAGGAGGAGGAGGAACGAGGAGGGAGGAGGGAAGAGGAGGAGGAGGAGGAGGTGGATGAGGAGGAGGAACGAGTGCGAGGCCAAGGGAGGAGGAGGAGGAGGCGGAGGAGGAGGAGGAAGAGGAGTGGTAGGCCTATAGGAGTGCCGGGACGGTCGGTCCCTGCCCAAGTCTCGGGGAAGGGGCCCAGCCAGACCTGTTTGGGTCGACGTTGTGAAAACATCAGGACGTCGGGGGTCTGGGGAGCGGGCTCCTGCTTTCGAAGAACGGCCCCCTTGAAAGCCTCCCCTTCCTCGGCGTCACCCCAACATACTTATACTATGTGTGCGTCGCCCCCCCAAGGGCGACGCGCGCACCGAGAAATCTTATTGTAGATGCGTCGTGGCGTGCGCTTTCTGGCCACACCGCTCGGGAAACGATATACCACAAGATGGGTATACCATGTGTTCAGGTCGGACGCGCGCCTCCAAGAAGAACATATAGTATCAGTATGTCCCTGTGCGTCCCACTTCCTTGGAGGAGGGCCGCCCCGCCCCTGGCGCGCGCGCCGCCCAGATCGGGGGGAGGACGGTGCCAGCGGGGGCTGGGAGTAAGTCGGGCCTGCCCCTCTACAGGAGGGAATATCCAAACATAGTTTACAACAAATCGTCTGGGGACGATTGTCGTTTTTATAACATTTGTTCATGTTGTTGTTTGAGCATTTGGGGGTATGTTTAATTTGTCGTCCAAAATCCGCCTGTAGAGGGGACACGCCCGACCTAAGGCTGGCACCGAGTTGTGGAGCTGCTCGCGCGGAGGCGGCAGCGCGGACATGGCGCACTTGGGCGCCATGACGGAGAGTCACCGTGTCTATGGTGACCCTCGGCGCACCGAACGCGTTCCACTACTCGCAAAATGCCTGCTCGCAAACGCCCGAAACACACAAGTGTGCTTCGACGCAATGTATCGCAGATCCCCCGCGGCGGATCCAGGCCATGTGCGAGCAGCTACCTTGCGAGTAGTGGAACGCGCTCGTCGATTGGCGGCAAGGGCAGGAGACCGTTTCTCGAGCGGGGGCTGGTGGCCGAGCCGAGGGCCGTCCTGGAGGGTATTCGACGCTGCCCGTTGCCACGGTGCCCTCTGGAGCTGCCGGCAGCCGAGCTCGTCTCGGCACAGCCTGTCCTCCTCCTCCTTCTTCCCCTCCTCCTCCTCCTCCTCCTCCTCCTCCTCCTCCTCCCTTTCCTCCTCCTCGCTCCTCCTCGCTCCTCCTCCTCCTTCTCCTCCTTCCTCCTCCTCCTCCTCCTCCTCCTCCTCCTCCTCCTCCTCCTCCTCCTCGCTCCGCCTCCGCCTCCTCCTCCTCCTCCGCCTCCTCCTCAGGGGGGGCCTCGGGGACCCCGAGGGGGGGGCGCCCCCAGGCCGAACTCTTCGGACGTGCCCGCCGTGGCCTCCCGGCGGGGGCCCGAGGTGAGGCCTCGTGCGGGGCGCGGCGGGGGGTCTGAAGCCGGGCACGTCCCTACTACGGACTGCTGCAGACGGAATATGCAGACATGGTCGGAGTGAGGGGGCCGAGCGGTCATGCACTGTCCCTGGGTGGGTGCGTGGCCGAAGTGGGGATCCACGGCTCGGATTCTGCTTGTTCTGTTGCGTCGTCCCCCCCGCGACCCGGCCCGCGACCCACCGTCGACCCGGCCCGCGAGGGGACCCACCCCGCGACCCGCCCCGCGACCCACTCCGCGAGGAGCGCGAGGAGGGGCCTCTCGCTGCGGGTCGCGCGGCGCGAGCGGGCCGTGCAGCAGTGGCTGTGGCCTGCCCGCGCCGGCGTGGAGCGCGTGCGGTGGCGGGCCTGCACGGGCGTTGGGCGGCTCGGGGGTGCGGTCGGACAGCAGGAGTCGGGCCCTCTCGCGAGGTGCGAGGTGCTCCTGGGCCCTCCGCTTTCGCATGCTTCCAGGCCTCCCGAGTAGTAACTGGCCAGAGCATCGCCGAGTGCGTTCCACTACTCGCAAAGTGCCTACTCGCACACGTCTCAGATAGGCAGGTCTTCCTTTCTGTAACACGTCGTAAATCCCCCGCGGCGGATCCAGGCACGTTGCGAGTAGTCCATTTGCGAGTGGTGGAACGCGCCTGTCCAGGCAGACCTGCACGGTCGTTGGACGGCTCAGGGGCGCGGTCGGACAGCAGGAGTCGGACCTTCTGCTTGCCTCCTCACGAAGTGTTCCTGAGCCCGCCTCTTTCGCATGTTGCCAGGCCTCCCAAGTAGTAACTGGCCAGAGCAGATGGGGTCGGAGGATCGCGAGGCATCGCCGACCCATCGGCGAAGCGGCTCGTTTTGGAGCCCGAGTTTCTCCCTCCCGACGTCGCCGATACATCGGCGATGTATCGGCGATGCGATGGGATCCTTCACCCCTGTCTACTCCGGCCCCGTTTGGGAGGCGTCTAAAAAGTCCGTCACATGATGTGTTGCGTTTTGCCTCTGCACGGGCGCCGGCTGCGCGGGCGTCAGATGACGAGCGAAGCTCATTGACACCCAGGAGTTGTTTGGATCATGCTCATGATGTCTTGTCTTGTCTTGTTGTACTGATCTACCGTGGGACAGCCATGCGCAGGTCTGGACCTGATCGTCCACCGTGGGACGTATGACTCGCATGTCCATCACACTGATGGCAGTAGTTCTGGATACCGATGTTCATCGTTCCTGGATGTGGACAAACGTTCTGACAACTCGCTCGACGACAAGTTCGAGTCGCATACAGGTGGGGCTTTGTATGTTTCCACGTTCGAGGTTGACACATGGTCTAGCCCTGCGTTGTGATTGCACGGGGAAACAGTTTGAACACGTCATGCTTACCCCTGGTTTGTTGAGGAGGCGCGCTCAGCTAGGAGAACCGATGCTGACCCGACAAGCAGTTGCCGCGAGAGAGTTTGCAGCTTCCGGCCTGAGCAGAGTCGCGGCTGCCAAGCAAGAGCGAGAGCGGGAGCCTTGAGAAGGGGGGCGGGGGATCGAGGAAGGAAGGGACGGAAGGAGGGATGATAAGAGGAGGCTTGCAAGGCCGCTCCCCAGGTTTTGTTGCCCTCGTACGTTCGGCAGACTCTCGTGGTCACTGTGTCTGATCTGCCTCTTGCGACCTGAGAGCAGCATCTCCGAGCGGGCGCCATCGTACACATTACAGTCACTAGGGAGGAGGAGGACGAGGAGGAGGAGGAGGAGGAGGAGAATAAGGAGGACGATGGACAACGAGGATGCGGAGGACCGCATGGATTATCGTGCGGAGTAACAGAGGAGAAGGACAAACACGACAAGGAAGGACAAGGCAGGATGATGGAGGGCAAGAAAGGAAAGAGGGAGGGATGAGGAAGCAGGACAACGATGGCAAGTGGCCGCGCAATGAACGACCGCATCCCGAACTTATAGTCGTTGTTCACTTTGCCTGGTTTGTCGAATGTTTGTTTGGTACGGTTGTTGTTGGCAAATGTGTCTTGTTCTCGCTCAGTGTTTTCTCGTACGGTTGTGCCCTTGCCACTTGCAGCGTGTTTCAGTTAGGGATTCTTTTTCGATATGTCTTCGTGAGATAGAATTGCGATTACGCACGCCGCTGCCCGTTTCCCACGACGCACTCGCGCACGTTGTTCAGGGAAGTTCGCATGAATAGCCATGTGCCTTGCAACACTATGCTATAGACGGCGCTTGTCGCCCTTTTCGCTTGCCAGCTGCGCGTGCCTTTCCTGGGCGCAATTCTCTCGCGCTGCAATGCTTCGCGCGGCGTGATCGGGCCAATGTTGCGCGACAATGCGCTCACTCATGCGGTCAAGCCGTCTCTGCGTGACGACGCTTCCTGTAGCGTCGAGCATGCCGCTTAGCTCATTCCTTCTTTGTACGCGGGCCCCCCGCCCCCTTTCCATTCGTCACGGCGAACCAATATTACGGAATGTCGTTCTGTTTGTTGTTCGTCCGTCGTTGGTGCATGCCAAGTTGTTGGGAGCGTTGTTCAGTTGTGTCTCCCCCGTCTCGCCCGACCGCTTCCCGTGACCCTCCCCCTCTATTCGCAGGGTGTTCTGTGGGTCTTTCACCGCACGCATGTCAAAGTGGAAGGCCCGGTCGCCCCGTGGAGGGGTGACTTCGTCTACGAACCATACGCATCGCGGTTATGCGCAATAGGTACGGCGTTTGCATTATGCCGATTTTGTTCGCGGCAATATTGCGCACCGCGACTGTGCAACGCTCGTCGCGGCGTGTTTTCGGGCACCACCAGGACAAACGTACCACGCAACATATCGTCGCCCATGGCTTTGCAAGAGTCGCAACATTTGATGCGCTCTTCGCGACGTTTTGGGGCGTAGTCCTTCGTCTTCATAGTCGCCTTCCCCCTTCCCCCGCCCCATGTTGTCGCTCCTCCCCCTCATCCACCTCATTATCCTTTGCTTCATCATTGCTTCTCGTGGGGTTCCCATGTGGCACTCCAAGGCCATCTTGGGTTGTATTGGGGCCCTGTTTGGTTTTCTCGGGGGCCTCTTGGGACACTCTTCGGCCATTTTGGGCCGTCGTGATCTGTTTGGGGGGTCTCTTGGTGTCTTTTTTGGCAGCGCCCGCCTCCGTGAAAGTCTTCTTGCTTTGTCTGCGGACCGGATGCAGTGCAGCTACGGTGGAGATGGCAGCAGAGACGCTTTCAACTCTCGGCAAAACAATTACTTCGCATTTCCACGCGGGGTGGCTAATTGGGGGCCTCCTATGGCCATGCCTGGATGTTTAAAGTGTGGGCTTTCTGCTCCATTTAAACATGGCGGACGTAAGAACATGGGCTTTTGAATAAATCATCCCTGGGTTCTTGATAGTCCCAAAGCGCCAGACATCTTTCGATTACCAAATTTGAGAAGGAGTTCTGGGGTCCCAAATGAGATCCTTCCTTGGGGGCCCGGCGGTCCCAAAACTACGGGCCGTACCTGGGTCGTCGCCAGTCGACAGGTCCCACAGATCCCGCAGGTTCCACACGTCCAGCAGGTGTCGCAGGTCCCGCAGGTCCCGCAGGTCCCACAGAGCCCGCAGGTCCCACGAGCCCCACGGGTCCCACATGTCTCACAGGTCCCGCAGGTCCCACAGAACCCACAGGTCCCACGAGCCTTACGGGTCCCGCAGGTATCGCAGGTCTTACAGGTCTTACAGGCCCCGCAGGTCCTACAGGTCCCGCAGGTCCCACAAGTCCTCAGGTCCCACAGGTCCCACAGTTCCACAGATCCCACAGGTCCCAGAGCTCCCACAGATCCCGCAGGTCCCACGGGCCCCGCAGCTCCCACGGGCCACCACAGGTCCCAGGTGTTTCAGAGGGCAGACAGGTCTCACAGGTCTGACAGACCCCCCAGGCCCCGCAGGCTTCGCAGGGCAAGCAGGTCCTACAGGTCCCGCAGGCCCCCACCATGGCACACAGGAGCCACAAGTCTCACAGTTCCCACAGGTCCCAAATTTCCCTCATCTCCCACATCTCCCACATTCCCCACATGTCCCACGGGTCTCGCAGGTCCCGCGGGTCTGACAGGTTCCACATGTCCCACAGGTCCCACAGTCCCAGCACGTCCCGCAGGTCCCGCAGGTTCCACGGGTCCCGCAGGTCTTCCCGCAGGTCTTCCCACAGGTCGTCCCACAGGTCGCCCCACAGGTCCCGTAGATCCCAGCGATCCCAGAAGTCCCACACGTCCCCCAGGCCCCACAGGTCTCGAAGGTGACACAGCTTCCACCGGTCTCACATTTCCAACAGGTCCCGCAGGCCCCACAGATCTCGCAGGTGTCTCAGGTTGCACATGTCCCACAGGTTCCACAGGTCACCTGTGCTGCTATCGGGGTGCTTTGCTGACGTAATGCTCGAATGACTGGGCGCGCATAATGGTTTGCGCTGCGCCGAGTGCAGATGGGGCAATGCGCGCGAGTGCGGAGCGCTGCCCATCAAATTTTGATATTTGTCAGTTTTTGCTTTTGGTTGTGAACTTGCAAAGGAGGTGGTTTCCATCGTGGTCAGCAAGGCATAATGAGGACAACGGAGGGAGGAGGGAAAGTGAGCGTGGAAGGCTGAGGCGAAACAGGAAGAGGGACTGCATGATCAATTGCTCGGACTAAGTTCCAGAGCCACCATAGGATGAGCGACGAGAGATGGCGGTGGAGGAGGAGTGTGGCGGAATAGGATGGAACTCGTTGCGTCAAAATGATAAGGTTTGCAGGTGGAAGATGAGGAGGAGCAGTGCCAGCGGCAGGATGGCGAGTGAAGGGGGAAGGAGGCAGACGAGAGGGGAGAGGAGGGATCCGGGAGGAGGAAGAGGAGTGAAGGTGCCAGCATAGAGAAGTTCATCTCGAATGTCCAGGACGGTCTGAAGTTCCAGGACATCATCGACGAGATCCACAGCAAGATGGAGCTCGGGAGGATAGGGAAGATGACCCAGACATCTTGTCGCGGACAAGTGGAGTCGGCACATGCTTGTTGTAGTTTGTGTTTCCAGCGGCTTGCGGGTTGCGGGGAGGGTGAGAGCGCTTTGGGGGGTCAGCCACGTGGGCGTTGTGGGTATCTCCCCCTGCGTCCAGTGTCCTCCGAGCGGCCGCCTCTCGCTGTCTATCCCTGTTCTCTTTCTCTCTTTCTCTCCCCCTGTCTCTCTGTACGTTCTCTCTTTCTCTCTCTCTCTCTCTTTCTGTGTTGTTCTCTCTCCCTCTCTCTCTCTCTATCGTGCCCTCTCTCGATCTTTTTTTCTCTCTCTCTCTCTCTCTCCATCGCTCTCTTATTATACGTTCCCACTCTCTCTCTCTCTTTCTATCACGTGTCGAACGGGCCCTCTTCAATGACGGCGGTTTTCAATGTTCGACGTGTGCGTAACACGCGTGCACACGCACGCACACGCATCGTCAGTTCTCGAGCCGATTGGCTCGAGAGGGCGGGAGTGGGGGGCAGCATTTGTCGGAACAGGGCTCGAACCAACTCGATTTGGATGCACAGACGGACAGGCACAATGCTTTATGCAACGCCGAGGTGTGTCGCAATCGCGGGTCCAGACGCAAACACACACACACACACACACACACACACACATACGCGAGATTTGGCGTCGCGGCCGCGCGAGCAGCGACGCAGCGGATTCAGGCCGACGGGAGAGGCGAAGGAACGGTGCGACGCACACACACACACACACACACACACGCACACACACACACCTACACACACACGTGCACACACACAAACACATATACACACAAGCACGCACACACATACACCGCACACACACACATACACCACACACACCACGCACACACACACACACACCCACACGTACACACACACACACACAGACAGACAGACACACAGACAGACAGACAGACAGACAGACAGACAGACAGACAGACAGACAGACAGACAGACAGACAGACAGACAGACAGACAGACAGACAGACACACACACACACACACTTTTACCACGTTCCCTCCGGCAAGCGTGCCTTCGCGCGCGGCGAGTCGCCAGGGCGGCTGTGCGGCCGCCTCCAGCGAGGCCAGTGCCGGAGGCGCCCCCCCCACCACACACACACACACACACATACACACACGCACGTTAGCCACGCGCAGAGGAGGTGGGGGGAGGGGGGAGGGCTTCTTAGAATCACCCCTGCCTCTTAAAAAGGCGCGGGCCTGCTCTATGGACGTAAGGCCGGCGCCTTCTAAGAAGCAGCCTTCTTCTAAGAGGCCCTCCCCCCTCCCTCCACCCTCTTGTGCGCACCGCCAAGCACGCACGCGTACGCACGCACACACATCGGGGGTGAACAGACCTCCTACCCTGACACGTCGATTAGCGAATTTGCCGTTTTCGGTTCGCGAGGCGGCGTCGCGGCCGTCGTTTTTGCGGGTCCGTGTCCGTCGGTTTCGGTCCCAGGCCGTTTTCACTAAAGGGTGGTTTGCTAAAGGGAGGTTTGTCCACCTCCGAACACGCACGCACGCGCACAAGTAGAAGTAATTATGCACACATATGCACGCATCGTACCAAGGTTCTGTGTGCAAGTGACAGGTGCAAACGTATGCAGAAAGGTCAAGATGTGGCTGCGCGCCGAGTTGCCACGTCAAGCCTATCGCCACTGTATCCTGTCAAGGGAAGCACGGGTCAGGACGGAGAGGCACGCTTAGGCGCCAAGTCCAGCCGATCGCCTCCGCATCCGATCCCAAGGAGCCTCGTACCGTCGTAGAGCTACGCTATTGTCTCTCGTTGCGGTGCGCTGCGGGCCACGTAGCTTCGTCTGCGGCCGGCATGGTGCCTCAGAAGAAAACGCCTCCGTCCCGCGCAGACGGGCACCACGCGACCATCTGCGCGCTCTCTCTCGCTCTCTCTGTCTCTGTCAGTCTGTCTCTCTCTCTCTCTCTCTCTCTCTCTCTCCTGGTCGGGTCAGTCTGCTGTCTTCCTCGCCTCCCTCCCTTTCCACTCCCCATTTGCCCCTTCCCATCGCCCTGCCCCCCTCGCCCCACCCCCTCCATTCCCCGCTCGCCACTTCCCATCGCTTTCCCTTCTTCTCCCCGCCAATATCGCCCCCCCCCCCTCGCTTTTCCCCTCCCTCACGCGTCCCTCCCCTCCCCCCGCCCCGCCCCTTCCCCCCCCCTTTCGTAAAGAGGGCGCGCGCCTGTGTGCGTGTGCGTGTGCGTGTGCTTGTGTGTGTGTGCTTGTGTGCTTGTGTGTGTGTGTGCGTGCGTGTGCGCGTGCGCGTGCGCGTGCGCGTGCGCGTGCGCGTGCGCGTGCGCGTGCGCGTGCGCGTGTGTGTGTGTGTGTGTGTGTGTGTGTGTGTGTGTGTGTGTGTGTGTGTGTGTGTGTGTGTGCGTGTCTGTGCGTGTCTGTGCGTGTCTGTCTGTCTGCCTGCCTGCCTGCCTGCCTGCCTGTCTGTCTGTCTGTCTGTCTGTCTGTCTGTCTGTCTGTCCGTCTGTCTGCCTGTCTGTCTGTCTGCCTGTGTGTGTTCGTGTGTGTGGATGTCTGTGTGTGTGTTTGTGTTCTTCGCGCGCCACAAAAGTCGTGCGGTGACTGACGGACCATGCGGTGAGGTCTCCTGGAATTTGAGGTCGCCGCATGCCTTGTCCCCGCACCGCTTCGGGACGACCCGTCCAATGCGACCCGTCCAACAGGAGGAGGGGTAGAAGGAGGAGGAGGAGGAGGAGGAGGAGGAGGAGGAGGGGGAGGAGGGGGAGGAGGAGGGGGAGTGGGAAAGGGAGGAGGAATGCCAGGAGGAGGAGGAGGAGGAGGATGAGGAGGGGGAGGAGGAGGACGACGACCTCGACGACGACGAGGACGAGGAGGAGGAGGACGCAGGGGGAAAGCGCACGGCGCCGCCGCCGCAGGGCCTGGCCGACGCGCTGCCCAGGCTGGCGGGCAGGCTGCCTGTGGAGCTGATGGGGCTGGCGCAGAACGCGTCGTCGGGGAGCCCCGCGCCCGAGGAAGGGCCCTCCTCCTGCTCCTCCTCCTCCTCCTCCTCCTCCTCCTACTCCTGCTTTTCCCTCCTCCTGCTTTCTCCTCCTCCTGCTTCTCTCCTCCTCTCCTCCTCCTCTCCTCCTCTCCTCCTCCTCCTCCTCCTCCTCCTCCTCCTCCTCCTCCTCCTGTCGCCGCTTCCGCTCAGGAGCGGTAGCCGACTGTTACCATTTGCCAGATGGGCCCCTTTTCGCGCACACCCCGCAACACAGCCGAAGGGGTGAGGGGGGGGATGGCGCTGCACTCTTGCTTGCTTGTTCTCGCTGTGCTGATCCGATTTCGCTGTGCTGCAGCCTGCGCGCCGACAGTAGACGAAGGGGCAAACATTGTGGAAACACCCGTCTTTCGCAGAGGGAAAGGATGGTGCGCAATGTGACGTGCAGTCCGTTGTATGCAGGCTACGACAGACATCAGGGCATTAGCAGGGAGAAAAAGTCGTGGGACTGTGTGTTTCTAGCCTGTACACAACACAACGCGGAGCTGGATTATCCGAGTGTGCACGTACAGCTGAACCACCACTGGGGCATAAGGAGAGGGCAGCACACGACTAATGGCTGTGGGGTATCCACACTGATGGGGAATGGCCATCCGGAGGCATCCTTCAGAGACGTATACGACCCTCCGAAGGCGATCCAGGGGCGCGCAGGGGCAATTCGTAGTGGCATTGCACAAGAGGGTCTACTGATGGCGGCGGTCTATTCCGCCCTCGTGACGAACAAATGGAGTGAAGAGACCGCTGAACGTATGTGCAGCTGGCCGGACGGTCTGTATGATAGAATAGGGGTACGGGTTTCTCTGCTGGTGGGAGGGTGCACGAACTGATTTCGGCCTAGCCAGGGACGATACAGGGGTTATGGGCAGCACGAATGGGAGAGACATCGGACGCTACTACCCAAGGTGTGAAAACACGAACGGCAAAGGTTTGAGGCAATTCTGTGCAGACAGTCGCTTGTTCATGCCCAGCACCGACAGCCCCCGGGCACAACGCACTTTCGGATCTAAGGGAAGGGTGAGGATTGACCACGCGGCTCGCCCGACGAGGGCACGGGGCTTGGCATAACAATGCTGTGTTTTAAAGGACGCGGGGCGGCGCCCCCAGGCAATAGGAGTAGGCTTCCGAAGGGGCCATGTGCCAGTACGGCTTCAGATACCACTGGAACTGGCCTCACGTAGCTCTACGCCCATGCAGTACACGCGGCCACTTGACCGTAACATGCTGATGCGCTGCTTTCAGGAAGGCGCGAGGAGAAAGGAGCTTGTTGTTTGCTCAACAAGGTGGAGGAGGCTGCTCAGGAGACGGAAGAGGAGCGGAGGGTAGCGGCTGCACGTTGTCCGCCTGATCGACTTGTGGACTTGCTCGGAGGAGCGGAACGAACCGTTCTACAGGAGGTGCTCCCGCCGCGAAGGCGGTGGATGCCCGAGGGGCAGCAGGAGCTCAGGGAGGCTCGGGCGTCGCTGCTGGACCAGGGGGCGCGCCCATAGAGGGAGGGTGGGTCAGGAACAGGAGGTGTTCGAGGAGGTTCAGGAGTTGTTAAAGAAGGTTTCGGCCGAACTCGAGACCAACAGAACAGCCGAAACGAAACGACGACGGCGTGATTTTGCCCATGAGATATGGAGAGCGCTTCTGGCCGGGATGGGCTAACATGCAGTCTTTCGGGTGGAATGCGCCAGAGGTGGGAGGCGACTAAACATGTTATTTATTACGTTAGCCGATCATACTGGAGTATAAAACAGGTGGACTCACGATTTGCCCGGGCCGCCGGGCGAGGGGGGCACGTCGTGCAAGGCGGTAATTTTGGACGACGCCCTTGCAAGATACGCGGCGGATTGCGAGGCGAATGGAATTCTCTTGCACAATGATGCAGAGACCCGGGTATCCTATGAAGAAGTAATTGCGAAGGTGCAAAAATGGGGGTGACACACAAGGGAGTCCAGCGACAACGGGGTGGTGCAATAGATTTGTGGTGTCGCAATACATTTGGGGCGTGCAGTACGTCCCGGGGGGCAAATGTATTGCTGGATGTTCGCGCGCAGCACATTACTTGCAACGCAGTGCAATACAATTCTCCGTTCGCAATACATGTGCAATACAATTCCCCCGAATCTATTGCGCCACCCCCAATCAGCTGGACCCCTTTTTGGGCCCCCAAAAAACAGGGGCGGGCCTGGCCGAGCTGGGGGTCTCCGAGTGCGGCGTCAAATTTATTGATTGCCCTGGCGATTTATTTGAAATCCCCCGCGCATGCGATCGCAAACACATTCAGATGAAGCAGCTAAGCAGCTACGAGGCCGGAGCAGGACGAGGATGAGAAGGACGTGGGGCGCCAGATGGAGACGAGGAGGGGGAAGCGCTGGAGGCTGCCGGGAAAATTGGGCCGGAAGCCGGGCGAGGGCATAGGAAGGAGACGGCGCGAGGAGGAGCAGGAGGCGCAACCAGCGAGAAATGACGAGCCGCGGAGGCTTCGACGAGCTACGCGCCGGGCATAGGGAGCAATAGGTGCACAGAGGCACCGACTGCGCCGCCATTTCAGATACAACTGAACAAGTGGCTCATCTTTGTAAGACGCGCGCAATGCATGCCGCTCGACACGCTGCGAGCCCAGAGCTTCTCCCCGAGTGAGAACAACGGGATATTGGGCATTGCGGGGCGGAGGATCATGCGCAGTTGCGACTCTTGGGGGCTCGCGTGGCACGCGGGAATTCACGGGCTGGCGCAAGAGGTCGAAATGACCGCCGTGGGTTTGCGGAGGGCCGAGGTCCAGATCGAGTTAAAGCGCGCTGGTCCGCCTGCGACCGGCGCAGCGGGGGCGCGGGCAGGCGCGATTATCGCACGTGACAGCGAGCTTCGATTGCCCCAGCGCTTCCGCCGGCACAGGGCGCGACGTGCTCGGGGCTGCGGTGGCGAGACAGCGCCGACAGCGCGGCGAAATGGTTGCCTTGGGCGCAGCGCAACATCGGCTCATGGGCACTGTGGGGAATGACGGGGGAGGGGACTTGATCAGCACAACCAGAGACCACATGAGTTTCTGTTCTGCGCCAGGGGATTTCGACGACTGCCGTGGCAGAAACCAGAATGACGCAAACCGTTTGCTAGAAATTCCTTGTTCCAATGTCCAAGCGGCATGGGAACTTCTCTGCGCGTTCTATCATGCGGGATGTCACCTAGCTATCGGCCGGGGGGGGGGGGGGTTAACCGCGCGGCGGCGGCGGGGCTTAATCCCATGACTCAAGGACTGGAGAAGCAACTGCAAGACGGGGGGGGATGGGGCCTCAATCCCGGGGAACAATTGGGCAGATGCTCAGTCTGACGGGGGGGGGGGGGGGAAGCGATGACGAGAAATCTGGGATTCAAATCGAGTGACAGGGGGGGCAGGCAGATAATTGCGCATCTTGGGACCTTTCATGCGCGCGCAGGAAATTTGGGAGCAGAAGTGGGGGTGGGGGCCGCGGCAGCAAAAAAACATGCATGGAGGCTGGCAGGCACTTTCAGGAAGTCGGATACGCCTTGGGATGCGACGGGCATGGAGATTATCGCGTTCGTTCAGGTTGCTGCGCTGAGGAGTCTTGCGCGCGTGGTTCTTGAGCCGCGACTGACAGATGCCATCGGCGCCGCTCGCTGCGCGCGCTGGCTCAGGCGTGGGCGCAGAGTCGTCGGAGAAGGGCCAGATGGGCAAGGGCGCGCCGCGCGGGGGCATCGGGGCCCCAGGCAGGGGCGGCGTCGACCTGGTGGGCGCGGTGATCTCGCTGCAGGAAATGGGGCCGAGGCAAGACTGGAAGTCGCGAGAGCGCCATCTCATGCTACGCCTGCTCTACCTGGCCCCGAAGAAGACCAACGCGGTGAAGATGGGCCTACAGGGGGGGCAGGGCTACTGCGCGGCGACGTCGAGCAGAGGCAGTGGACGTCGTCTCGGGCCCCCCCCTGCCTTCGCGCGGTCGCGGCAGCGTTCGACGGGCTCGCCCGCGGCCCCGGACGGGCGCGCCAGCGGCGCGCCAGAAGCTTTTCAACCGCGAGAGCGGCCCGAAGCTCGCGAGGGAGATCGTCGGCATTTTCATGGCGAAGGAGGCGCGGAGCGAGGGCGGGGCGGAGGGCGAGGACATCCAGGTGAAGGCGAGCTTGCGCATCAACCCGATGGCGGACGCGGCGATGCTAGTCGAGCACGCGATGGCGAAGCTAGAGGTCGACGCGCCGCCGCTCGGCGAGGGGGGCGGCCACGGCGGTCTTCGAGCCGGCGGGCGCGGTCGAGGGCGAGGGGCCAGGTCCCGAAGGCGACTTCGCGCGAGACGCGGAGCGGCAGATGCGCGGTCTTCAGCAGCGGAAGTAGCCGGGGTTGTGAGGCTGCCAGTGGCATGGCGCAACTTGCGAGGTGGCGCAGCACGGCTGCAAGCGGCAGCAGTCACGCGCGGCGCATGCTAGAGATAGTAGAGCAAGTAAGAGCGCAGCGATCGGGGGGGGGACAGCGCCCGAGGCGGGTGGCCCATCCCCCGCCGTCGGCAGGAGGCGCGTCATCCCCAGTGCCGACGCGGCATCGCATTAGGGCCGTGCGGCGCCACGCTGGCGCTGCAGGCCCTCTCCGAAGGCATGCGCACGTTGGAGAGCGGGGCAATTCCATGTCGCTTGCAGGGGGCAGCTATCCTGGATGGGAAGCGAGGCGATCTGGCCTGCCGAGGCGAAGCGAACGCTGGCCCCCAAGGAGCACATCATATCTGACCGCCATCATCATCGTCATCATCATCCTTTCCTCCCTCCCTTCCTTCCTCCCCCCCTCCTCCTCCTCCTCCTCCTCATCCTCCTCCTCCTCCTCCTCCTCCTCCTCCTCCTCCTCCTCCTCCCCCTCCTCCCCCCTCCTCCTCCTCCTCCCCCTCTGCCATCCTCCCGCCTCCCCCCCCCCCTTCCTCTCCCCCCCCGCCTCTTCCCTCCCCCCCCCTTTTCCCGCCCTTCCTCTTCCTGCCCCC